AGCTGTTGAACGGGTATGACGTCCCATTCTCACCTTGTCCAAGTGTCTCACGAGTGCCTGATCTTCGTCCAAGGAGTGACCTCTCCTCGAACTGATAGGGCCACAACCATTTCGTCAAACAGTCTGAAAAACATGATTACTCGTACAAAATGACATCAATACTAGTATGCCGCCGATTTGGTGTAGTGGGACGAGAAATTTTTATGTATACATTCGATGACGATGAAAATTTGTCCTGGAAAATTGTCCCACTCGTGTTTATTTTCCTCTATATATTGGCCAGGATCAGGTCACATTTTTGGTAGTTGCGACCAAAACAAATAAATGTGAATTGAAAGTTAGTTGCTAGGAAAAAACCTGCATTGTACTCTTCAGTCATAGGTGGAACTATCCTAATTCCGCGCGAATGCTCAAATGGAGGGTCATTGCAACACGAAGGCAGAAGTTCACATGAGTAGGTGACGAGGAGTTCTCTCGCTAGAAGCAGGTGAACAAAATGCATGTATAGACGTAATGCACTACTCACAAGGTTGCTGAAAATCCATCGACAGCTCACGACCGGTTTCACCCTTCTTGGGGCTCATCAGGTAGGCGCAGTCCCCGAGTTTCCGTCAACCTTATCTTTTACTTGAAACCAAATTGCACAAAACTAGCGAAGATACATTCGTTTGCAAACTAATTTGGTTTTTTCGAGTGACTCACCTGAAACCCAGCTGAACCTCTCGATTGTGGTGTTCTCAGGCAACTGAATGTGCTGCACCAGGCCGTCTCATGTTTCAGTCGCCACGATATTCAAGATATCGTGATACACGTAAATATCTGTGATGTACTAATTATAAGGTTGCTGAAAATTCGTCGACAGCCCACGACCGGTTTCGCCCATTTTGGCGCTCATCAGGTAGGCGCAGTCCCCGGGTTTTCGTCAATCTTATGTTCTACTTGAAACCAAATTGCACGAAATTAGCGAATACACACTCATTTGCCAACAAATTTGGCTTTTTCGGGAGACTCAGCCGGAACCCAGCTGAATCTCTCGTTTATGATGTTTTTAAGTAGGCAGGATAAAAAAGCGGACGGGTTGCCATTGAACCAGGAAAAATATTGAGTCATTCTAGACTGATTAACGTTCTTTAAGATAGGTGGCGATTTCCACTATGAACCACCTTCCGTCAGGTACGCGGTCCAGTAATATTATTCATACTGTATACTCAAACTACACTCAAGCAGGTTCTCTCCTGATCTGCTAACGTGCACATTAATGAAAACTTCCAGCAAAAGACAAACCGTTGCTTGGGTGTGTCATCAGAAGTCCCTTTTGGAAAAAAAGAAACCGTTTCTCGCCATGTCTTCATAGGTTCCGGTCAAGCGGAACTCGGTTAAGATGGTGAAGACGCAGATAGCACCGGAATATTCTGCTCGTTTCGTTCCCGCTTGACTGACACGGTCAGTGAGACACAAACGCCGGCAATGAAACGCGCGGTAGGTGGCTTGCTGCTCCAAAAACAACCAACTGGCTGAATTGCAGCGAAGCGATGTTCTTGCATTCCGAACCTGAAAACAAATCATTCACGCGGAGCGGCTCAAATGGTCCCAGGGTAGAGAACACTCTAAAATAACGACCACACGAATGCAAAACAGGGTCAGCTAAGTGCTGCCGAAACATGGTTTTATGCAATGACCAAAAAAGATATAAACTCGGATATTTTTCCACACGGACAGCTGACGATGCCGCATTTTGAAGTGCTGCTTTCTGTGCAACTAATGAGTACGGAGAACAGTCTACCCCTTCAGGAAGTTCCCTTATCCGTAGAGACGGTGTGTAAGAGAAGGTCTTTAGTTGATTCTCAGAATTATATTCCCCTGTTGACTCGTCCATTAGAAGGGGTCAACATTCAGAAGGGACCGTTGTAAGTGGACTTTTTCCAACGGTTCGGTGAGGAGAAACAACTGCTGTTATGCCCTCAAGGAGAAGAGACAAAGAAGAGACGTAACCATATGAAACTCACAAAGTAGCGGGCATAGTCGTCCTTAATTGAAAAATAATCTTTCTAGTGAACCAGATAGAGACCATCATTGGCTCAAATGGAACCGTTTTTCTACAGGCCATTGGACAGACGCGTAACAGGTATCAGAATATCTTTGTGATGTACTACTCATAAGGTTGCTTAAAATCCATCGACAGCCCACGACTGGTTTCGCTCTTTTTGGGGCTCATCAGGTAGGCGCAGTCCCCGGGTTTCCGTCAACCTTATGTTCTACTTGAAACCAAATTACACTAAATTGGCGAATATGCACTCATTTGCAGGCTAATTTGGTTCTTTCGAGAGACTCACCCGGAACCCAGCTGAATCTCTCTTTTGTGAAGTTCTCAGCAACCTTATGAGTAGTACATTACAAAGTTATACATGTATCGCGATATTTCAAATATCGTAGGGACTGAAACATGAGGCGGCTTGGTGCAGCACATTCAGTTGCCTGAGAACATCACAAACAAGGGATTCAGCTGGGTTCCAGATGAGTCTCTCGAAAGAACCAAGTTAGGTATCAGGATACATAGAACGTTAATCTTAGAGTTCCGGCTATTGGTATTCACGGCCGAGGTGATCGCACCACGGTCAAGGAGGGGATTCTTTATAAAAAGTAACAATTTTCAAACCCAGTTCTAAAAAGCCATAACAAGGCAGTCCTAAATAGGAGGTAGACATATAACTTTTTTTTCGAGGGGGGGGGGTGAACCTACAGGGAGGAACCTTGGTATAAGAGACCATAGTATCCGCAAGAAATTTCATTGGAACCCTGAGTGGAAAACAAGCGAAGTATGTGGATGACCCAGAATTTTCTGGCAGTCCTGTGAAAACCAGAGTGATTTTAACGAATTCAAAGTTTTTGCCACTATAAATGCTGCATAATGCGAAACTGGCGGATTAATCGATCGTCACAACCAGGACAGTTATTGGGTCGTCTTTCGACGGGTCGGGCACACAAATCACATCGCTCACGTGAAAATTCAAATGCGTCCACCAACGTGCGTTGGTAGAGCAGGGGTTAAACGCTCGCCTCGCATGTCATGTGTCCGGGGTTCAAATCCCGGCACGGCCATTGGATGTGCACTGCTGATGAGCTCTAATAAGAGCGGAACTCGAGTCCAGTGTTTGACGTGGACTCACCGGAATAATTACGCCAGGATGACCGTTGAAACGAGAGTGGTATGACAATGAACAGAAACAAGAAAGAGCAACTTCCGCGTGATTCAGACTACTCTGTGCTACATTTACCAGCAAAGTAAGTGAAGTTTGGATACCGATGAAATTTTCATTTTTTTAACGACAGGCCAAATGAATAGAGGACAAAAGTCAAATCGATTGGCTTCCAGATTCAGCTCTAGGCTGCTCATTGGTTTCATGACTGGACACGTGTGAGCTAGTTCGTGAAAAAAATACAGTTTTGCTCGTTCTGTCGTTGCAGACCAGTTTCGGATTTTGGGTGATGCTGCGTTTTTATCAGTTTGCATCAATTACCGCGCTATTCTCGTTAGACAGGTCCCGTAGATTCGTGAATGAGTTCGACAAACTTCATACTGTGCCAGGAAATGACCGAATAAATCTGAGTAGCTCGGAGGAACCAGTAATACATGAATGGCATCGTGATGTGGCTCCCATCAATGAACTAATCACATTGCTGATCAGTGACTCGTGGCCAGGAGGTCAAGTGTTCAACCACCGGCTAGAAGTTGGTGGGTAAGAAACCTCCGGAGGTACGCAATAAGAACGAAACAGCCGCACAGTGCTCAGCACACACTGAGAAGTAGGAAATTTCTGTTGAAATTATGTGTCATGCCACAACAAGCTCGAAATGTTCCTTCGAACGCGGTGTGTGAAGTTAGAGTAGACCCAAACGAGTCCACCCGGATATCAGCATGCATGCTAGTTCCCATCGCGTGTCGACGGAACACGCGAATTCTCCGACAGCCTACGAATTTGTATGCACGCCACCCGCTTCACGTGATAGGCGATCCTCGTTAATAGGGCTGTCAGATTGAGCGAAACTGGACGCCACAGTATCTCAAAATTGCGAATGCAAAAAGCAACAAGCGTTTGTTGAATTCCACTCAATGCCCACCTCATCAACTCTCCACATCCGAGCACCACATGAGCCGCAGGATTACGTGACCATCCACGGTGAGGAACATGACTTGATAGTTTCAAAACTGGAGAACCGTCGGCAGTCAACGAGAGGGTCTGGCTCTGAGTGACGTCAGCTGGTATCCGAATGCGTAAAGCGAGAATATTTAAGCAGCACAGACGCAGGATACAATGATACGTGAGTCATCACTACAGCGAAAATTTGCTGTGGTCCGGAACCAACGTTGACTACGGTGACCGTTTGCCGCACCTCACATGACCACGACTGACAGTCATGGCGAAAAGCAAGTTGAACAGAGTCACAAAACTTTCACTCAGGTTGACGTTTGAAGGAGCGTGTAGAGTGAGCGGTGACGATTAGAGCTCACAGAGTGTTGGCCAAGTGTTCGCACAGCGAAGACCACAACAAGGTCCACGGCTATGGTAGAGGCGATTGCGAAACTCGGTGCACTAACACACATACATGATTCAGCACGAGACAGTTCCAAAACCCTGAGGAACGCTTCATTTCCTTAATTCACTCACACAGATAGTCGAAACATTGATAAGAAGCATTTTCAGAACAAATATGACGCTGTTTTCCTTGTATTCTGATCAGCGGAAAATATTGTGACAATTAACTAGTAATCATGAAAAAACTATCGATTTCTCTTACTCAATACTGTGTAATGCAAATCTATTAGACTTCCCATGACGTCACACTGTGTGAGCAGCATTGTTTTAACCGACAAACACAAAGTGCAATCCACCTGTAGCACTATTTAAAGGCGGGTGATTCCTATGACAAAGGATCTTTGAATCTCACGGGAACTTACCTGGGATGCGTCACTCAGTTGTGGCTACAAGTGTTTACAATGCATGTTGCTGGTCTTCAATGTGGTTGTCATCGTAAGTCAGTCTACTCAGTGTCAGCATACTGTTATCAATCTCGAGTGTAGTTGTGCGGCATTGGGCTGATGGTTGCCGGAGGCATCGCTGAGTACAACGTTGCAAAGTATTTGAGCAAAGATGTCATTGAGCTTCACGCCTTCGTTATTTTCATAATCGCTTTTGGTGGTCTCCTCACGATAACCGGAATTTTTGGTTTCGTTGGCGCGTGCATGAAAAGTGTCTGTCTCCTCACCTTTGTAAGTGGTGCGACTGATTGCAACGATTTACACAGTACATCATTCTCCTGGTGATATTCATCCTCGGTGGCATCGCAGCCGCGATTGCTGGGCTAATTCTCAAAGATAAGGTGAGTTGGAAATTAGTCCACATCGTGATGCCTCATTTAAATTGTAGGTGCTAGATTATGTCGACAAAGTTCTCGAGGAAACCTACCGAACTTATGGTGATTCAGTCTCCAAAAGAGTGATTGACCTAGTCCAGAAGGAGGTAGGTTATCCCACTTATTTTTCCTTGAGCTTTTCAGCTTGAATGCTGTGGTCCTGATGGCACATGGCCAGCGTACTTGCAACAACCTCCACCGGCTTCCTGTTTTAGCCCCTCAGGGGATCTGTATGTAGAAGTGAGTCAAACGTTGCTTAACTCATTTTCCCCACCCAATTTTACCCGAGTACTTTTGTGCTGAATAAGTGAACTCAAGTAGAGAAAAAGTGGAGTTCTAAAAAGTTGGCTACCAGATATCAGCAACGAATTTCCACTAGAGCACAGGACTCAGTCGATTCTTATGATCTCGTCATCCGTCCTCTTTGTGATTGACTTCATGACGTCAGCATGAGTAGATCTGTTCTAAGAATTTGTTTAGACAAACTTCGGAGGGGGGTTGTTGGCATTCCAGCGTCGGAAAATAGCTTGTTTCTGTTTCACACGTGACACAGCGCTTACGTTCTGCTTGCTTAAAGGGAGGAATCTGTATGTTTAGACTAGCCCGCTGTCAGTCCACGTTTGCGTAATCTGAAGTGGAAGAGGCAAGATTCGTGTTGACTGACATCGAGGACCAGAGCGATGCGGCTAGCTGTTTTCATGTTATATTTTGACTAAATGATACTCGGCAAGATGGAAAGCAAAGCTTGACATGCACACACACGCCTTTCATCTTACCGCATTACCACCACAATCTGCGTGATAGTGTTCTTGTTTCAACCGAATGTATCATTATTACGTACCATTATTACGTATTATTATTATATACCAATATTACAATATTGTATTTAGAGTTGCGTCTGCGCACTGGACGATTATCTGCGGAAGAACATACTTGCCATAGGAGTATGCGCTGCTATATTCGCAGCATTGAATGTTTTGGCGCTCATCTTCGCAGTTTGTGTGTGCACAGCTCTCAAGTCCGGCACTGACTATCCTGAACCAACTTAACTCAGCTGACCTTCCTATCATCAATGCCATCAATTTCCCCTACATTTTGTTAATCCGTTGTGCCATCAAAACTTCACTCTCAGCTTGAAACGTTGACGCCGATTGCATTCTCACACTATAATGCCATAAATTCTATATTCGCTTAAATTAATCTCTACTCACATGCTAACCTCTGACAAGGTCATTGCTAACACTAGCGAAGAATGTGTAACAGTGGTGGTGGGAATCGATCTAAGTACTTATAACTATGATGTTCTAATCCATGTGAATGCGCAAAATCGTGAATATTTTCACTAAAAAGCGGTTCTGACTTTCGGTTTCACGGAACTGCGGGCTAGGGAATGCACAACAGTGGATGGGATCAACAGTTGAGTACGTCTGGATGCCTGTAGACCGTTTGTCGTCATCACCGCCGCGGATGACAACGCCACATTGCAGTGTCAATCTAATTTGAATAAAGGCGGGACAGGGAGGCGCAACCGTGTCTAGGCTACGCGAAACACCCGAGGTGCGTACACCACCTACATTTAGTTATGTTTGGTTGTATGAAAACAGCTGATTTCGGTCAGCCGTCCAGTGTATCAAGTCAAGCACAGGGAAGATCACGTGGGTCCCACAATAGCCAAATGCATGCTGAGTGAATTATAGTCTGTTTCAACAAAGACCTGTCATCCAATTGCTAGCTCGCTGGTTCAAACCGACTCCGGCTACAGGTGTGAGACACCGGTGGCCAATGTCCTGAGGATGTCACAGACCCTCCACCCGAATTGTTCCGTAGTCTGACACATGCACCACACCAGACACATTGACAAGCCCTTCTGATTCCACAACTGGTGCAGACTGGCAAACACATGTCCATCCCTCAAGATCTGCGCGTTCACCGCGTCAATCACACCACAATCAGTGCTAACTCAACTTCCAACATGCATATAGTGCTCCACTGCTTCCAATGTACCCCTAAAATACTTAGACGAGTGTTCAAAGACTTCGCGTGTTGTGGGCGCGAAGCGCATGTTCAAGTACTCGGTGGCCTTGATCGGTTTCTCAAGGACTGATTGCGTCTTTGACAATTCCACAAGGTCTTCGCTCGAACAGATTTGATTGCGGGCGCTTTGAAGACCCGGCATGTTCGCATCAGTGTCTAGTCAATAAACCAATGAAGCGAGTTGGTGAGAGGGAGGGGCTATTCTTGGCTGACAGCAATGCCTTTAAGAAAACGTTTTCAGAGCTCCCATCAGCTCCCCATACACGCCCACGAGCATGTGAATAAGTGGTGGTGAATATATGTTAGTCAGGACAGTCAGGGCGGAAGCGTGCTGAAAAGTACCAAACGGTCGACAGAATCCAACGCGCATTCGAGGTCGACGAACACTTCGGGTCTGTAGCGTGTACACGCATGTCGGTAATCTAACACATAACGGAGTATGAAGAGCTAGTCCACAAAACCCGTTCCAGACCGCAATCCTACTTGATGTGCTCGGGTCCCCTCTTCACGCGACTTTGCAAGTGGGGGTGCAAATAGTAAGGCAACGAGTCTAGTTTCAACATGCTAATTCCTTTGTGAGTGCCACACGCACTGCAAGCACCCTTCTCGAAGATGGGCGCTAGCACCGTCTCAGCCCAGTTTGTTGGTAGGATCTCATTCTCCCAAGTGCAGACAAGTGACGTGGCCAGATGAATTGTTTTTGGAACTGTTCAACCCATAGGTTCAGTTCATTTTTACATATAGGTGAGCCCATTATAACGAGGGACCGTTTCGCTCACTTGGTGCTGTTTTAGGCCTGTTGAACGTATCAGCTGGAGCATTGTACACACACTCCCGGACTTTCTCGCTTCCACCATGTTTCCGGTCTTCTGGGTTCACGTGAATTCCGGATCCATGCACATTCTCCGATTCACCTGAGGATTCGCATTTTGTCGAGGGTGATGTCGATCAGGGCAGTTTCAGAAGAGGTTTCTCGAGGTCCAGCAAGTAGATCTACTCGTTTGACTCGTTCCACACGCAGACGGTCCTCGTTTTGCAGAGTTGCGCAAAGTGTCGTCTAGTAACTCTCGGCATCAAACCCGGGTTGTCCGAAATGGCCTCTGATAGGTGGCTCTACTGGACATGTTCCACATCTGGGTCCGAGAACCACTCAGTGGCCAGATGTGGTGTGCATATCTCGCGCACCATAGCAAAGCACAAAGAGAGGCTACCGCAAACAAGCGCGTGAGGCGAATCCACACAGGCCTTATCAATTTATCCACGCTACCCAAATATAGTGCTGATATGGTCACAGTCTTTTCGGGGCGTAAACAGAATCAATGAACGGTGAGCAATGAGTGAACCAGGTTCACTTCTGCTCCGCTATCAAGAGCTATTCAACCCAAAGTAGAGTTATTCCTACTCCTGCTTGTGTTCGGGGGCCAGCCGTCCCTAATAACCGAACAGCACATCATTTGGACAGATGTGTCACGTGCAGGACACGGGCCAAACGAAGGCACGCACTGATTGGTCAGAATGCCAACCAATCCGAGTCAAGCACCTGTGACTCGACGCCTCTCGCCCCCTCGCGGAGATTCTGGCACGACCGTGTGGAACACACCGTGACTACCCTATAAATACAGTTGTACTAATTTTCCTTGGCCTCCATAAAGGGCTGTGTAGAGCTGTCGTGCCTTTTGCTATACCGTAGTGGGAGGAACAGAAAGCCAAGGGACCGATACAGGGTTGCGCTACCGTTCAGCAAGACAACATTTAGTGGAGAAAACGCTCAAACAGCAGCGAGCAGAATCAAATGGTGAGGTTGGTGAGCAGAAACTGTCGTTGGGTTATGAATCCTAGAGTCACAGAGACGGAACCTAGCATCAGAATACGAGTCCGGCGCACATGGAACAATAGTCTGTTTTCTGGATTTTCTCAGCTCCACCAGAGAAACTGAACGTCAGCGTTAGGCGGTCGACGGAACCGTTAATCCGGTAGCTAACCCTAGTGAGTAGTAAAAGTTTCCGTCAGTCCCTAGAAGCACGAGGCCTACGGAGATGTCACTGGAAACAAGCTGACGAGAGAGAGAATGAATCACTTGTGAAACCTGATTGGGTACGCGTCACCAGTAACCTGTAATCGCATACCCACGTAGATGAATGTGACAGGCCAACCCGATGGCGCTACAAAACGACCAGTGTGGCGCAATTCACGGTTGTACGTAAGCTACGATACCGTCAGAACGACCAGTTATAGATAGGCGGCCAATTAGGTTAGGTTGCCAACTAGTCTCGATATCAGTGAGCCTACCAGACTGTGTTGGCTGGAATATCACCGCCAGATCAGCGCATATGCGTTTAAACAGTGAATCCACACATGTGTTCTAAACGCCAACCTGGAGCTTAGTCACACCTCCACAAATTGACCAACCTGGTTGTTCAGGTTCCCGATGCAGAACTTTGAGTCTCGATCGGTTTGACGAACCTGATCGTCAAGAGAAACAATTGGATTCGTTCACAAAAGTGAACAATAACATACAACAAACGTGAATTGTCCACGTTCGAGGCGACAACATATGCGCACTGACCGCCTCGGCTCGGCTCGGCTCGGCACGGCTCAGCGCAGCGTCAACGTAGGCGACCGGGATAGCAGTCATCTGCCCGGAGGCCAGTCTTGTGATTCTGAATGCCGGCTAATGATACTGAAATGGGCACAGAAATCAGCACAGGTTCAGCGAACGGAGCGTGAACACGCATGTGTGAGTAGGTCAACTACGCGCATATTGACGCACGCACGCACGCAAACACACTCACGCACACATTCACACAGGAAAATGGTATTAGACCGTCAAAATCTGGCTCCACTCAATGCGAAGTTGTTCTGAGAATAGGTGACTCTCTAACTGACTGCGGTTCGTCGTATCACTCAGATGAATTCGAACTAAATTACATAACGAGCATGAGGTGGCCTGGGGATCACCCATGCATATCGATTCAATCCGCAACTGATCGTGGCTTGCTGACTGAGCCCACGTTTGTTTCCAAGTAGATAGGAGGTTCGTGCGGGCGAGGTCCCAAGGAATAGTCCCTAACGTCCACGAATCAGTCCCTTTCCGGGGATTATCTTGCAAGCTCTTTGTTACACTCGATGCTCGACTGGACAACAACTGGTGAGTTTACCTGTGACAAATAGAGCCCAGAATGGCTAGCGTTATCAATATGTCACAGGTGATGATACCATAGTGTGCGATGTTTCGCTTGTGTGACCGATTAAGAATACTGAGGCGAAATGGAATAACGTGAGCAGAGCAAACAGTAGCGAACTGTCAGAGGTCAACTGGAGGGTTTCACACTCAGTGACTTCAGCTGGTATCCGAACTGGGAATGCGGACGGCTGAAGTGACTGAGCGACGCGGACGAGTTAACAAACGCCCAACTTGTGTTTCGGTCCGAGATCAATGCTGGTACCGTTGGTGCACCACACTCTTACGACTGACTGACGCAGGGAAACTGAAATTCTGTGCTTCAGGTACTCAGATAACGACGGAACAGGCGATGGACAAGAGCGTATATTGTTGCTTGTCGCAGGTTCACGCCGTAGGTGGAATTTAGTTGTTGCTTACTTGAATGTCGACCAAAGCAAGACCGGTACGCTTGCACTCAGCACCGACTGTAGGGCTGCTGAATACAACTCGAACTGCTTCGATGCGGTCTGTTCGAGCTGTTCGGTGCGCAGCGAAGAGGTGAGCAGCCTGTAACTACTGGCTTAAAAAAGACTGCCAACTGTAGTTTCTGTCCCGGATTGTCGCTTGCATATTCAGAAGTCAAGATAATGAATAAATTCTTCTTGTCTTCCCATCCTGCGATTCGCGCAGCGACCGCATACAGAATCAACCACCAAGATCCTGGCGAGCAATTGCAAAATCCCACGATACTCTCCATTGCCTTATTCGTGAGTTCCATATAATTAAACGAATTTCGGGGAGTATTCCGCTGTTTGAGATTTCCATGGTTTCGCCCCAAGTCCAATCAATCAAATTCCGCACAGCTCTCTACCCTTCAGTCGGTCGATCTTGCTGTGATGTCACACTGTGTGAGTAGCTTTGTTTTAACCGACAAACACAAAGTGCAATCCACCTGTAGCACTATTTAAAGGCGGGTGATTCCTATGACAAAGGATCTTTGAATCTCACGGGAACTACCTGGGATGGCGTCACTCAGTTGTGGCTACAAGTGTTTACAATGCATGTTGCTGGTCTTCAATGTGGTTGTCATCGTAAGTCAGTCTACTCAGTGTCAGCATACTGTTATCAATCTCGAGTGTAGTTGTGCGGCATTGGGCTGATAATTGCCGGAGGCATCGCTGAGTACAACGTGGCGATGTATTTGAGCAAAGATGTCATTGAACTTCACGCCTTCGTTATTTTCATAATCGCTTTTGGTGGTCTCCTCACGATAACCGGAATTTTTGGTTTCGTTGGCGCGTGCATGAAAAGCGTCTGTCTCCTCACCTTTGTAAGTGGTGCGACTGCTTGCAACGATTTACACAGTACATCATTCTCCTGGTGATATTCATCCTCGGTGGCATCGCAGCCGCGATTGCTGGGCTAATTCTCAAAGATAAGGTGAGTTGGAAATTAGTCCACATCGTGATGCCTCATGTGAATTGTAGGTGCTTAACTATGTCGACAAAGTCCTCGAGGAAGTCTATGGAACTTACGGTGATCCACTGTCTGTAAAATTGGTTGACCTGATCCAGAAGAATGTACGTTGTCCCTTCCATTTTTCCTTGAGCTTTTCAGCTTCAATGCTGTGGTCCTGATGGCATATGGCCAGTGTACTTGCAACAACCTCCACCGGCTTCCTGTTTCAGCCCCCAAGGTGAACTCTATATAGACGTGAGTCATGTATGGTTCACTTACTTGTTCCCAACTGATTTTTTCACGGGCATTGTTGTGCTCAATCAGTGAACGCATGTGCTTTGCGACAATATGAAAGGCATGTGGTGAAGTTGTCAACAGCAGACTACGTTTCTGGTGTAGTTTTTTGATGGATAGTTCTTCAGTGTGACGATTTTGCGATTGCCCACAAAATTCCCCAGCGAGTTGCCAAACCCATCAGGACCTGGGCCTCGGTCGATATCTTACTAAAACTTATTCTCTTGATCCAGTCATCCTTCCTCTGTGTGATTGACTACATGACGTCTTCATGAATAGATTTGTTCTCATAATCTGCTTTGATGAACCTGGGAAGGGGTTGTCGGCATCTGAAAGCAACTTGTTTCTAATTCATATGTGACGACGCACTGAATTCTACCTGGTCAATAGGTGCAATTGATAGGGGAATGCTTGATCGGGATTTCGATTTTCTGATTGCTAACAAATATCCGCGACATATTTAGAAACAGAATCTCATGAGCCCGTCATCTTTCCCCTGTGTGATTGCCTCTATGACGTCAGTATGAATAAATCTGTTTTCATAATTTGATCTAATTAACCTGGGAGGGGAGTTGTTTGTATTCCGGCGTCGGAAAGCAACTTGTTTTTGTTTCACATGTGACAAAACGCTCATGTATGTTCTAATTGTGGGACATGGGAATGGTGTGAATATCACAGTTACTCTGTGAAATCAGAATAACGGTGTTTTCGATTTCCAATCATACTCCACGAAATGTAAGACCCGCATTCATTTCCAGCTGCTTGTGGTGCGTGGTAGTAATCTCATCTACCTATGGAGAGTCCCAGTTAGGTCCCGAGTTCGAATGTAGATGGAAATTCGTCAGATGCGCACCGCTGATGATCTCCGGCACTGGTGGTACACTCCGCTGCACTCTGTTTCTATCCTCTTTCCGACCGAGTCAGTTCAAGTACGGGATTTTAATTTTTATTGACAGCCGCGACCCGAGAGATCGATTGGTCATGCGGCTAGCTGTTTCATGACAGGTCGTGTCTTACCTTCTGACTGAATGATACTCAGCAGGGTGGAAAGACAAGCTTCTCATGCACTTACACAACTTCATCTTGACGGAACACCGCATCCATACCCGTCCTTTTTCCGACTGCATTCTGTACATCCGTGATATATTCTTGTGTCTACCGGTTGTATCATTATCCTTACACTTATTACTATTTTGTATTCAGAGTTGCGTCTGCGCACTGGACGAGTACCTCCGGAAGAATATAACTGCCATAGCCATCTGTGGTCTCATATTCACAGTGTTGAATATTTTGGCGCTCATCTTCGCTATTTGTGTGTGTATGGCTCTCAAGTCCGAAGTCAACAATCCTGAAGTGATCTGTGACCCAGTAATCCAAATTAATTGAGTTCAAACATCACGTTACCGCACATTCCTTAACCAACTTGCAACTGCGTCGACGCGGATAACGATTGCATTCTCACACTATAATGCCATAAACTCTATATTCGCTTAAATTAATCTCTACTCACATGCTAAAGAATCGATTGGACTCATTAAAGTTATCATTTTGACGGCATTGATTTTTTCATGTGAATGCGCAAGATCGTGAATATTTTCACTAAAAAGCAGTTCTGACTTTCGGGTTTACGGAACTGCGGGCTAGGGAATGCATAACATTGGATGGGATCAACAGTTGAGTACGTCTGGATGCCTGTAGACCGTTTATCGTTATTACCACCGCGGATGACAACGCCACACTGCAGTGTCAATCTAATTTCAATAAAGTCGGACCCGTGGCTCCGCTGCGCAAAAAATCTGAGGGGCATACACCTCCAACATTTAGCCAGACCATCTCAACGCAGCTGACATCAGTCAGCCGTGATATCGTTGAGCCTAAGGTAGACCACGTGGGCCCCACAATAGAACACAAACGGTGCCAACACTCCAAGGACTTTTCGTGGCATCCTAGATTCCTTTCTGCTATGACCACCTGTAATTTCCCGCCTCACAGAACTAGGCTCGTCTCAGCACGCCGTAACTCCGCAGGCGGAACGCATGCCCCAGCCAACTTAGTTTGCAGTGCTGGATGCATTGCCGATCAGTGGGAGTTCCAGAGGGTTGCTAGAGATCCAGTGCGTAAATCCGGTTGATCGTTTCGTTCCACAAGCAGTCTGCCCTCGTTCTGCAGAGTTGCGGACGATATCCTCTAGTTAGATTCAGCATCACAACGCGAGTTGTCCGAAAGGGCCTTTAGTAGATGGCTCTACTGGACTTGTTCCACATCTGGGTCCGAGAACCACTCAGTGGCCAGATGTGGTGTGCATATCTCGCGCACCATAGCAAAGCACAAAGAGAGGCTACCGCAAACAAGCGCGTGAGGCGAATCCACACGGGCCTTATCAATTTATCCACGCTACCCAAATATAGTGCTGATATGGTCTGTCAGGCAGTCTGTCTGTGTAGAAGTTGGCTCGAGTGTTAGGGGCACCTCGATTTTGGTACTAGAGGAAAAAACCAAGTCTGTGGTTAGCGCACAACTACCGCTGGGCTTCTCCAGTTTTCATGATTCTCGATTCCAGTCCAAGACGATCCAATGGAGGCTCGGAAGTGTGGCAACTACCTACTTACGAATTCTTACCATAAGAATATGTGCCCACAGTTACAATGGGTTCTGTGCGACTTGAAAACTGTGTTTCAGTGTGTCGGAGCGAAAGTCTGTTCGGGGCGAAAACAAAATCAATGCACGGCAAATACGATTAAACGAGGGTTCCTTGCGCTCCGTTACTAAGACCTATTCGATCCCAAGCAGAGTTCTTCGTACAGCTGTTTGCACCACCGAAAGCGTCCAACCAGAAGCGAGCAGAATCAGATGGAGAGGTCGATGAGCAAAAACTGTCGTTGGGTTGTAAATTGTAGGATCTTACGAACAGCACGTAGCAACAGGAAGCCAGTCCTAGCGCCACCACAGGAACTGAGCGCCAGCATCTGGCGGTCGGTGGAACCGTACATCCGGTAGCTAACCCGTCGTTCCCTAGGAGTGGGCCCTATGGAAATGTCACTGGAAACGAAATGACGTTAAGGCGAAAGAATTATATGCGAAACAGGTAGAGGGTGCACTTCACTAGCAGCCTGTATTCACCTACCCGCTTCGATGTATGTGGCAGGCCAGTCCGACGACGCTACAAAACGACCGGTGAGGCGCAATTCACGGTTGTACGTATGATTCGATACTGTCAGAACGACCAATTATACATAGGCGGCCGATTAGTTTAGGTTGTCAACCAGTCTGAGTAAACAGTGAATCCATACATTTGTTCCGAACGCCAACGCGGAGGTTGGTCACCCCTCCACAAATTGACCAACCCGGTTGTCGAGGTTTCCGATGCGGAACTTTGAGTCACGGTAGGTTTGACCAACTCAACTATCAATTGCGAGAATTCAGTTCGAAAATAAATGCTACTTTGCTCACAAAAGTGAACAAAATCATAAAAAAAACGTGAACTGTTTCCGTTCGAGGCGTTCTTGAAGATATCGATCGATCAATATAAAGAGAAGACCTGATCATCACCGGAAGAACCTAGGTCCGTTACACTTGCACTCAGCATCAACTATTAGGCTGCAGAATACTGCTTGGCGTACAACCCAATCTGTTCGGTGCACAGCAAAGTCGTAGACGGCCCTTAACTGAAGGCTTAGACAAGGTTTCCAGTGATATGTGCCCACGGTTTCTCGTTCGCGTATTCGATCATCTGGATGATGATGATGATGATGATGATGATGATGATGATGATGACGATGATGATGATGATGATGATGATGATGATGATGATGATGATGATGATGATTCGGATGGTGATGACGATGACGATGGCCTGATGCACTGAAACAAATTTGTCACACGGAATTAAGCACCAATGTGCTACTGATCAGTTCCGAAATTCCTAATTTGCTTATTCGTGTGTTCCATATAATCAAACGAATTTTGGGGATTATTCTTCAGTTTGAACGTTCCACCGTCCCGCCCCCCAGTCCAATCGATCAACTATCTCATAGTCAATCCCGCTCTACCCCCCTCACCCTTCAGCGTGTCAATCTTGCTGTGATTTCACACTGTGTGAGCAGCTTTGTTTTAAACGACAAACACGAATGGCAATCCACCTGTGACACTATTTAAAGGCAGGTGATTCCTATGACATAGGATTTTCAAATCGCACGGGAACTACCTGGGATGGCGTCACTCAGTTGTGGCTACAAGTGTCTACAATGCATGTTAACGGCGTTAAATTTGCTTGTCATCGTAAGTCAGCTATTAATAATTAGCATTTTGATATCAATCTCGATTTTAGTTGTGCGGCATTGGGCTGATAATTGCCGGAAGCATCGCTGAGTATAACGTGGTGACGTATTTGAGCAACGATGTCTCGAATCTTCATGTCTTTGTCATATGCATTATAGTTTTTGGTGTTCTTCTCACGATCATTGGTATCTTCGGATTCTTTGGTGCTTGTGGAAAGAATATATGCTGTCTCACCGTGGTAAGTGTCCACGATTTCCCCGGAACCATTTAGACAGTACATTATGCTTCTGTTGTTATTCACCTGGGGTGAAATAGCTGTCGCGATTGCCGGGTTCGTACTCAAAGATAAGGTGAGTTTCCCGCATTGCCACATGTGAAGCGCAGGTGCTGGGCTACGTGGATGAAGTTCTATGGGAATCGTACAAAACCTACCGCACCGGCGTGTCTACAAATTTGATCGATCTAGTCCAGGAGAATGTAGGTTGCCTCATCTATGGGTCATTCAGCTTTCCAGTTGCAATGCTGCGGTCCATATGGTCACTGGCCAATCTACTTGGGACTAGCTGCACCGTATTCATGCTTTGATAAAAATGGATACCTATACGGACAAGTAAGTTTCGTGAATGCCTTTCTGGTTATTTGCCTGACTGTGTTCTAAATGAGCACTGGTAGCCAGTGAAGCTGGTGATTTTAAGCACTCAACTTCTGGAATGTTTCTGACCGAGGTATTTCAAGAACACGATGAAAATTCATCGAACGTTGAACTGTTCGATAGTTCAAAGCCAATCGCTTCGGCAGCACAGTTGGGCTAGCCTGTGAATGAGCGATACTCAATAGAATGAATACATATCTCACCGGAGTATTGTCACTATCCGCGTCCCCCTACAAACGCGTTCTGGACTTGAATTCTGCAAGTGATACAAGTGTGCTTGATTTCACCGGTGTTATTAACATCACTTTAATTATTCTCGATTACTTCAGTATCTAATATCACTTCTCTCGTTCTTCCCTGTTTAGGGATGCGTAGATGCATTGAACAATTACATCAAGACGAATATCGTTGTCATAGCGATTTGCGCTCTCGTATTCACAGTTTTGAACCTCTTGGCGCTCATCTTCGCGGTATGTGTGTGCATGGCCCTGAAACGCGGCGACGATGTGTGAACGAAAGAAACGAAATCGAATTGATTTTCTCACCGCCACCAATGTCATCATTCTTCCTTGCGTGTCCGAACATGTTGTGTCATCAAACCTTTGATCTGGTCCCTCAATCCCATCGGTGTGGATGTGCGTGGACTTGACCCCGTCAGGTTAACCCTGATAGAGTCAGAAACGCCCAACTATATATTTGTTTGTCTTTCAAGGTCATCGCTAACACTTTAGTGGTAGATGTTAATTGCCATTCATTTTCCGTAAAATCTTAACAATTATATTGAATATTTTTCATGTCTACTTACAACTGAATGCACAACATGTGTGCTGGTTTTCACTAAAAAAGCGGTTTTGACTTTCATATTTGTGTAACTCTGGGTCGGCGGAACGTTTCGGGAACACCGAGCTTCGTCAACCAAGTCGGGATAAACATCCTGACTACCAGGTGATGTTGACTGGCAGTAAGTCGTCACCTATTTTTCAACCGCCAACCTGAAGGACCAGGGGTCACACCTCCACAAATTGACCAACCCAGTTGTTGAGGTTCCCGTTGCGGAGTCACAGGTATGTTTGACGATCTCGAATATCAAAAGAAACATTTGGAGTCGAAAGTCGATGGTATATTCTTCACGAAAGTGGAAAAAATCATACAACGAAGGTGAACTGTCCACGTTCGAGCCGACAGCAAATGCGCCACTGACCGACCCAAGGTCCGAACAACTGACAGCGGCTGGCGGATTTTGTGTTGGGTTTTGTGGATTGCAGACATCCCTTCCGAAGCCATTCTTGTGATTCTCACTGCCGGTGCGATGACACTGAAATTGCAACAGAATTCAGGGCAGACTCAGAAAACAGAACATGAGTAGGTAGGTCAACTGCACGCAGATCCACACACATACACACGCTAATCTACCAGTGTCGGAGGGGGTACCTATCGTGTCAAGGTAAATGGCAGATGAGCAAAGCATGTGGAAACCAAACATACTGTGAGAGTCACTCGTACCACCCACCCACCCGTAGTATGATTCGATGGATTGCAGAGGTATACGAACCGTCAAAACGCGGTGACGGTTTGTCTGAAGCCGGATAAGTTGAGCACGCTGCCTCACACTCATATGAGTTGGTCTTTAAAAACTCAGTGGACTTTTAGCTGAAATGAATTGGAGCACTCAAAATGATTCCGGCAACATAGCTCATTTGTGATATTCTTTAAACGAATGTGCTGCACGCGGTGCGATGTCCGAGGCATCCCAGTACACCGTCTCCACGGAATACCGCGGGTGATCTCGATCTTCGCTAGGCTCATCTGTTAGGCGAATCGCTAAAGTGTTCGATAACATTTTGTTCACCTTGAATGCGGAATTCTCCTCAATTAAGGCTAAATTCTAATTAGTGGCGTTTTTATGGACAGCCCGGATGAATCCGAGTTAAATTACACTATGAGCACGAAAATAACTCATGAACATCAATTTAATTTGCGATTGATCGTGGCTTCCCGACTGAGCACTGTTTTGTTTTCAAATAGATTTGATGTTCGTCGGATCGAGGGTCTACCTCTACCCGGTCAGTCCCACTCTGACGGACTTTGTAATGTACTACTCATAAGGTTGCTGAAAATCTGTCGACAGCCCACGACTGGTTTCGCTCTTTTTGGGACTCATCACGTAGGCGCAGTCCCCAGGTTTCCGTCAACCTTACGAGTAGTACAGTACGAAGGTATACATGTATCGCGATATCTCAAATATCGTAGCGACTGAAACACGAGGCGGCCTGGTGCAGCACATTCAGTTGCCTGAGAACATCACAAACGAGAGATTCAGCTGGGTTCCAGGTTGGGTCTCTCGAAAAACCAAATTAGTTTGCAAATGAGTGTATGTTCTCCGACTCTTGATTTTCCCGTTTCTAAGTTGTCGATGATGAGTTTTCTCTTTGGGAAGCCAACGTGACAGTAAAACCGGTCTCTTTAAAGAGATTCTCTTAGCAGGTGATCGATGCTGTACCCTGTTTACCTACTTCCTCACGGTCTGGTTACAGCTGCTGGTTGATTGGGCAACGAGGTTAGGGCAGCAGTGAACAGTGCAGCTACTGAACTCTATGGCTCAATCGGAGTTCAGATAGAATAAAATGAGCGGTTTTAGTATCAGGATTATCAAGATTCAAACACACTCTTATGCCCTCAAATATTTCATCCACCGAGAGCTGTGTCCGTTCCCCGAGTGTCGTGTCTGTCAGTAACAACCTCTTAGTTAACTCCAGAGCATCTGCCCTAGGGATGTTTGTGTACATTGATATTACGTCAAAACTCACGAGGACTTCGTCCATCTCCAAAGGAAGCCCTGCGACCTTGTTGGCAAAGTCGTACGAATTCCTAATGAAGGTGCTTGATTTCCCCGTGAACGGTTTTAGTATACCCGCTAAGAATCTGGCCAGTTCATGCGGCGGCGAGCCTATACCATCCACTGTTGGCCTTATCGGTACGTCTGCCTTGTGGATTTTTAGCAATCCGTAGAGTCACGGTTGAATCGTACTTTTTGAGTACAACCGATACCACATACCTTGCCCTAAATGGTCTATTACGGATCTTAAATATCTCCCAAATTCAACCTTACTCTTATTCATTATTAAAGTAATACTGCTACCGGTAATTTGTCGATAGGGTCCATCGGCGAGGTGCTGAAGATGGTCGCTTTTGCTCATCATTACTGTGGATTTACCTTTATCGGCCGTGGTAATGACGAGACGAGATGGGGGCGAGATGGCCCAAGTGGTTAGAGCGCGAATTTACTGACCGGAAGGTCCGTGGTTCGAATCCGACCTCCGCCACTCGACTTCCCCTGTCTAGGCTTGGGCAACCCGGCAGTATCCCCGTCCTCGTGCTTCCTTCGGGTGGCATGGCAGTCAGGTACCGGAAGGGTGCTACAGCTGAACGCTTGATAATGATAATACTATCTACCTACCCAGTGTGTTCAACACTCTCCGCTCTGATAGTGCAATATTTGGAGCTCCCGGCCGTTGGGATTTCAGGACTGTGACCAGTTGTATCCGTAACACTGTCTTTTACAGACTAAACTTCTGTTCTGGAACTAACTTCGGTAGTAGGACGCTAGAACTATTGACGTTTAGCCCAGATGTTCTAAACTGACAATTAGAGGCTTCAAAATAATCCAACCGTCTAGGTCATTCGCCTGTCTTTCCTCCGGATTCTTTCGGAACTCCTGGTCCTCTTTTATACGCGGCGATTCCTCAAGATCCGACAGAGCGTCCTACTCTTTTCCGACATCAGAAGTGGCGTGTGCCTGTAATGGCGTGTGCATACTGTTGCTTAACTTTCACAGTTTGATGTTGAAAGAAAAAGGGAGGGTAAGGACTTGGTGCGAGCAAGCCCCGTGTCCTCGAGGAAAACGGTTGAGGACAAGGCACCTAGGCCTTTGGAAAGTATTACCTTAAACACATCTTGTCGAAGTAAGGCACTGGCATTCTTTGCGGACCTCACTCGCCACATGCCTAGCGCACAACGACTGACGGTTTTTGCTGTGAACTGACAGCGTGGATGCTACTGGGATCATTTAGCCCCAGTTATGAAGGCGTGAAGATTCCACGGTACTCAGTTTGACGCTTTCATTCCACGTTGGTATGTCATCGCTTGTCCAACGCGAACCGTTCGCTCGGAACAGAAAACAACGCTTGATTCGGTAGTCGGCGGTTAGGCAGTCCAGCAAATCGGACCACTTTTTATTGGACTCGCTGCAACTGGCTTAGTCCTGTAACCAAACACTTGAAAATATCTAATGTCCCCGGATCTGGGGGGTGGGCAAGTTTCACAACCACATAGCATAACTGCTCTCACCGTTCGTTGTCTTGTATACACCGCCCTTTAGCCTCGGTGAAATTCGCTCCTGAAGCCATAAACGACGCAAGTTTGCAAACTCTTGACTTGCGCGCCCTGACCTGGTATCACCAAGGCGTTCCTGTTGCCAAGGCATGTGAACCGGTCAATAAATTCAATCACTCCAAGCTGCTCGAAGTAACTGAACGCACCTTTGAAAGATCACATCTATAGAAAAAAGTTGACAAAGCCTTCCGATTTAGCAATATTTGAAATAGTTTTCATCTTTGAACAGCTGATGCCTTTTGCGAAAAGCACCAATGAGGCATTACTTGCTTTTGAGGGGAAGTTTGCCCTGAACGTGTGAAAGCAGTTCACAAAAACAGTACGCACTGAAAGGACTTACCACCAGTACTCCCAGAAAGTAATTGGTCTATTCAAGGTCACTCGAGAATCTGCTGACAAACCTCTTCGAATTCTGAACACAGGCAGTTTTTCCCAGGAAGTATCCCTAGCTTCGACCTCTGTTCTGTGTGGTGTGATTTCTTGTGATTTCTTCCTGTGTTTATGTCAGGACGCGCCCAGACATGAAAAGAGCACATGTGCAGAGAGTGACGCATCCTCAAGGTCACCATCGGTACGACACTTTTCGGAAAGCAGGTGCGTTGGCGGAGCACACTAAACACGGCTCAGCAACATAAGACCAGTGGAGCGGGGCTGAAATTGTTCACGACCGGAACACCGCTATTGGCTGTACAGAACGAACAAGTGAACGACCATATTTGGCCATTTAGTCATCCCCTATATTTACGCAGACGCTCTGTATGTTTTGTCCTGACAGCCGTGTCCCGAGTTCTCTGTCTTCTTCTTATCGCGTAGTCTGGCGGGCTCAATTGCAGCGTAACCAATAGACGGCCACCCGTGACACAGCATTTTACCTTTCCCACGACGCCTCATTCGGCCACATCAGTTTGACCCACACGACTTTGATGAACTTCAAAGGTGATATTTGCACGGATATTGTTATATCTGCTGATTCGTCAATCTGTGGTATCTGCTGCTGACCCGCTCCAGTGCGTAATGCCGGAGAAAAAAGACTCACAGAAGAGAACACAACCGCTTTATTCCGAACAACGAGTGCAAGAGCAAAAGTTACAACTGCCCCACGCTATTTAAACGGGACTTT